TTTTGTTGCCAAAGAGCATTTCATTAAATATAAATATTGATGTAAAAGAATTTTAAAAATGCATTAGGTAAGAATGTAGATGGTATAGCAGCATTAATTTTAGGCAGGTTGCAAGTATGTAACTAAAGGTCTAAATGACCTGTTACATGAAAATACCTCCCTGTCAGGGATGCTAGGCTACCAGCTTTGAGGCCACTGTCACTGACCTCAATGGAAAAATGTTAGGTTCACAGCTCAGTGACGATGCAGAGACTGCTCCACTTACAGATCAGTATTTTTCCGTTTTCAATGGCACATCTTTTTCATTTGTACTCAGACTTAGATTTGGTAATGGACTTAACAAGAAAGGATGTATTTTATATGCATGTCAATCCTCACAAAATCACTATAACAAGTGCAAACAGAAAACTTAGTATATATAACAATTCATTATGTCCCCATTTTTTGATACTCTACAGCTGAGAACTCCAGATGATGAGCAGTTGTGAATTGTATATTAAGTGGTCAAGAAACCTCAGGGCAAAATCACATTTTGGATTCTTGTTTCCTGTCTGCTTACACAATCAATATGATCTTCACAATCAACAGCTTTAAAAGCTCTGTGAAAGTACTTGAAATTTTTTTGACAGGAGGGAACAGTTTGAACAGTCATTCTTCCGCAGCTGCTATCTCCCAGATTGTTAGAATTATACACAAATACTTCATCCTGTTTCAAAATTGGATTTTAAGCTGATCTTTGTTATAAATATTAATGTCTAAACCTACCAATTCCAATTGCAGCACAGCTCAAATCACAGGGAAATGCATTAGGGAAAGAAAGATAGTTAAAAAATAATATAACTTGAGAGCAAATTACACAGCTAAAGATGATTGCTCTACACCAGTGTATCGATAAAGAAAACTCATCGCTAGCACCAATGGATCTTGAAACTATCATAAGGTTCTCAGACTTAGTGTTGTCAAAGAGCACTACCTATTCCTAATTTACAAAGTGCAAAAACCCTACAGATATTTCACAGCTTCAAATTTCTCATGATGTTATCTGTTCATAGCCTCCTCTCAACCACTGCTTTTTTTTTTTTTTTTCCTGTTATTAAAGGACATTCTTGCGCCCCTCCAGAAATTGGGAAAAAAAAAAAAAAAGAGAGAGCATCAGTTCAGAAAAAAAAGGGCGGGGGCCCGACTCCAATACAATCAGAACCCCTACCTCAATGGGGAAATAACTTTCAATAAATATTGCACCAGATACTGGACTGGATTACAGAGATTAGTTCAGTTGTGCAACTAACTGCAGACATACGGGGCTGTATGTTACTATATGCAAAAGCTTTGCAAATTCAGAATTGTTTTAAATGCAGAAGACAGAAAGACTTAAAAAAAAATCTCTGTCAGCCTTAAATTTCCACCCCATTTTATAGACCTATTATCTTCTTAGACCACTTTCAGATAGCCATACATACATAGTATACAACCAGAATGACAAACTCATATTCCACAAGCCACATATGGATAGAAAACCCTCCAAAGACCATACAGCAGTCGAATGAGATACTGGTGAGCAAAGAAAGGAAAGAAAAATGGGTTGCCTCTGTGATTTGGTCTGTTCAGTATGGTGATGGGATCCAGCAGACTCAGCTGGAGAGTGCAGTAACTGGCTTTCAGTGCTAACATAACTAAGACTAAGCTACATAACAGACTTCATTTTAGGGTATACAAGTAATCACAGTTAGACTGAATTATAACCTCCACTCTGAGTTTCTTGAATGAGCAAAAGGACTTAGCTTGAGTTTCAATACAGGGAAATGTTAGACACAAGCTGGAACTGCTATAAATCAACACACAGCACTCCATTATATTGCAATGAGCAAATACCACAGTTCTTGCCTTTAAATGTTAATGCTCAATGCCTACTGAGTTCATCTGAGAGCTGGAGAGGAATTCTTACAATCAGCATTTAGATACAGAGCAATTCCTACTCTGCTGCTTACTGGAAAGAAGATATCCAAGAACTATGACTAGAAGAATGTAAAACAAATGAGAAATGGGGTTTACCCAATGTCATGTATGAGCAGAGCTGGCCAAGGCTAGGGGAATAGCACTTCCTGGGTAAAAGAACAAAAACTGAAACCCAAAGTCACCCTTTCTAACTACTCCAAAAGTAAAAGACTTTGTGAATTCGTGTCAACTCTCGAATTAAGTTTTTCAAGCTGAAATGAAACAATTCAATTTTTCACTGGTATTTTCATTTCAAATAGGCATGCAAGATGGGGGCAAGAAGTAGAGGAAGTAGGATAAGCCTATAAAATAACTCTATATACTTGCCTGACATAACGACAGAATCTATTTGATGACCCAGAACCCTTTCCATTGTAACTGCCACAGATAACAGAAGAGAAAGAAGAAAAATACAAGAAACGCCACTGAGCAAATGCCAATTAGTTTTTCTCTCTGCATTCAGTCAAAAGAACGGATAGAAACTTTGTGGGAACTGTGATTCCTGCAGAGAGAGCTACACTGGGTTTTAATGAGCTATCTCAGATGCTCCTAACAAAATGCCTACAGCATTGCCAATCTCTACATGCTCAAAGCTTCGCCAAGCAATTTTCGAACTACTGCTCTTGTTATCCAAGGCAGCCATCTGAACAAGGCTCTATAAATTGTAAGAGCAGCAGCAACTTCAAAGTAAACTCAACTATGTTAAGTGTCAGGTTCAGGTCTTGTTTTTTCTCAGTCTCACACAGAACTGTTGGACTTGCATAAAGCCAGCTGAAAATGTGTTACTCAAAAGGTTTTTAAGAAATATCATTTAATTGATTTTTTTTTTTTGTAATTGCTTCAGTGTTGATGAGAATATCCACAAAACCAGTATCTTTGTTTTGAACACATTAAATTAATAAATTAAAATGGCATCTTAAAATTAAATTGGTTTATAGTTGCATATTCTTGCCATTTCATTAATATAACAGTAATTCATAATATGACATCACAGTTAAAATACTCTTAAATGATTCCATTTGTTCAATATCTTAAGGACAGTTGTTTTGCATGGAAGTAAATGTTTTATCTAATTTGAAATGAAAACATATCATAATAGTCTTGTCATTTTTGACACAAAGAATCAAATAAATTAATTCCTTAGCTGAGCCCTATCCTTTGTAATTGCTGAAATCCTATTAAAATAGCTGTGCCTTCAGCAGTACTCAAAGATAACCACAGATTACCATTTCTTCTTATAGCAGGGATGCTGTCTGTGCTTTAAGCAGTGAAGATAATAATTATTCCTTTTCACAGAGATCCCTTAAGGAAGGCCTTCAAAACTTTTAAATAAAGCAAAGTGAGACTGTTTGCAAAGAAAGAAAGGAATTATGAGATAAGGCCTTGGATCTCACTGATGCCTTCATTGCCAGTTTTAAGTCCAAGCATAACAGTGCTGCTGACCATTAAGTTCTGCAGTGTTGCCCTTTGAAACCTTATGACATGCAAAATTGGACTTGGAGAAACCTCATTTCTTTCTTAAAAAAAAAAAAAAAAAAAAAAAAAAATCCCAGAAGGCAGCATTTGGCAGCAGTTCATATTCATTCTCATGTATGCTGGATGCAGTCTGGGTTTATTTTGTTATGTATTGCATTTGGTCACAGAGAAGAAGTACATTTGAAAATACAGCCTGGTTGCTAAGACTTAAGCCAAACAGTATGAAGTAAACCATCAGAAAGAGTTAGGAAAAATCAGACTGTATTAGATGAGGAAATATGCTGGCCATTTATCCAAGTTCTAAAAGTGCCTTGGGGATTTCCTTGGTGTCCAGGTTACAGCCATGTCCAGGCACCATTTGCTTTCCAGCATGTCTCCCCTCCCAACGAATACAAAATTTTATTAGAGTTATCCATGTCTGTCTCCTCTCAAGATTAGATAGCATGGAAGTTCTGTATAAAAAAATTGAGTTTGTCCAGAAAAGGGTTTCAGGCCACTGAACCAAGTTGTCTTGGAGATGTCAGTAATTTTAGAACTTAATTTGAAGGTACTCTTTCACTTCATATAAATATTGATATGCTACCTAAGACTCTTCTACAACATTTAAAATTGAAGGATTAACACAGATTTGCTGTCAGACAGACCAACCTGGTGTTTACTGAATGTTAAATAGTTAAATGAATTATGATTTGATTTTCTTCACAGACTGTGTTGTAACATTAATAAATGATGCTCTAACAAATTGATTCACATCTCAAGTGTTCTGTCGGGATAGTTAATGCTGTAGCAATCACTTTTCCTTAATTCAATTAACCGACCTCATGATAATCTGTCATAATACTATTATGTTTTTGGTTTTTTTTTTTCCTGTTTATGGTACTCTGTGTTTTTGTATCTGAGCTTACTTTTCCCAAAGGGAAAGTGCTCTGTCATGCACTCATACCTTTAATGCAGGAGAATCTGCAATTAGAAACACTTTAAATGCTGAAGCTGTCAAAAAAAAACTTTTAGACACCAAACCCACTAGAAAAATATGCTAGGAAATCCAATTTCATTTCTTCTAGGGCTCACAGAATTCCTTTCCTGTCATGCATATGGCACTCTATATGGCTGCTATTCTATCCATTTCTCGTGTCTGTTGCAGTTAACTCCAAAGCTGCGAAGTTGGGTACCCACAGCAGGTCATGTTTAACCAAGTATTATGCTCTGCTGCATAATCACAACTGGAAGAAGATGAAAAAACATCACCAGAACACCTTTAGGACTTCTTGATCTTACATCTTTGATTACATGACCTGCTGCTGCAAAGAGAAGAGGTCAGGACCTGGCTAATTTTATCACTTCAGCCACAACAGCAATGAGACAGAGCTACTCCCTTTACAGAATGTACCTAAATTCTGCATCAAGTTTCTACAACAGCTGCACCAAACCTCTCAGTAATGCTGTTGCAGAGCTGGTGGGGGATGTAGCACAAGATGCCCATACATGTGTTTTATGGAAAAGAACACTCTTTTCAGACACTTGCCATTCAATTCCTATTTTATTCACCAGAAATTCATGCTGAGTACACTGTCAGTTTACCCTTGAAATTAGCAGTGAAAACCAAAGGAATTCAGACGTCTTTGCCCATACCTAGGACTGCGATACTGTTATTTCTTCTGTTTTGCATAAGCAATTCTTGTTTCTGTATCATGCAGGCGATAAGTAATGCTGAACTTGGGCTTTGTTCCAAATCCTGTCACTGGGAGGTAAATTGGTATTTGAATACTGTATTGGTGTACACATTGTGCTGCTGTGCACTAAAGAAGCACCTGAAATGAATCAGAAGCATTCACAGTAAGATCTTTTTCAGATAAGATTATTTTGTTCCCTTCATTTTTCCTTTTCCCCTTTCCCTTCTTTTCCCCCACTTTCCCTAAGCAAATAAGCTTCCTTGTACTTCTTGTTACAACAAGCCATTTTCTTTTGATGTTAATGTTCTTTTGTGTTGAGGTACATTTTGGAAACCTTCAAGTAAAAAATAAAATAAAAAACACTACTAGATCACTGCAACAAGCCTGGCTTATTATGGGTTGATGCAACTGCAGCCTGACTGTGGGAAAGGGTAAAATACTCAGAATCTCATGATAAAGCTATGGCAGCCCTTGTGAAAGAGTATTAGGAACAACTAGATCTAAACAGAAAATCTGGCTCAGAATTTACACCTCGGTTTCTACATAAATAAATTTAAGTCCCAGGAAAAGGACTTACTATGCTGTTTATCTGAGCTATGTTTTTGGAGGGAAGGGAAGGCATGTCTTTTAAGTCATCAGCTTTTTCTCCAAGTTGTGACATTTATTTTTCATGTTCAGAGAAAACCTGTGTAAATGCATTAGTTGATATAGGAAAACAGGAGGTGTACTTGTAGTTTTGGTCTGTAAAGGAAATACAAATGTTAATTCTAATCTCCTGCATTTTTACAAGCCATGTGTAAAGTTGTTTACAACTTAGCTGGCAAAAGTTCACTGTTTATAGTTAAGAATAAATAAGCTGAAGAAAAATACAAAACCTCTGGAATTATACCAATGGTATAAAAGAGGAAAAGGAAAGGAATAAACCAAGAAGCAATGTAAACTCTGTAGAAATTACAGCTCTCCGGGGTTCTCTGTGGGCACATGCTATTGTCTGCTTTGGCTTTCATCTTCTCATTAATAAAAGTAACATGAGGAATACATTCCTATTACTGCTTTTGTTTCACTCAATAGTAGTTGCCACAGGAATGTCAGGATCGTATAGAGATGTTATTCCTGATAACGTGAGTAATAGGGCTAGGCAATCCTGCCATATACACTGTAAAGTTGCAGCTGGTTGAAATGGGACTTGGACATCCATCATTTAATCAAATACCTTTTAAACCATTATAACCTTCTTCTTTTTCTTTCTTTTTTTTCTTTTTGTAAATAGTCGAGTAAAAATCATGCTGTTGTAATACATCCAACTGGCACAGCCCTACAGTTCAAGAGAACATTTACTTTCCTCCCTCTTAAGATGTTCTGATCTTACTCAAGATTACCTGTGTTCTCTTCAGTGTTTTTTTTGCCTTTTGACAAATCAAGGATATATCACTTTTACATGCAGATCTACTCATTTAAGATAAATATGAAAATTAATCCCAAAACTAGCAAGTTTCACTTTTTGTTCTGTGAAGGGAAAACATTTCTAAATCCAATGCTGGCAGATGTAGCTACTGTGTTAGCATAAGCATTAAGGACAGAAGAAAAACATTTTTCTATTCTTCTTTCCACACGCCTAAGAAACTTTAGTGGACAGTTGGGAAGAGAGAACAGAACCATGAACCCAACCTACCTTTAGGTGGTGGCTCTTCCCATATTAATAGTGAGTGAAAGCTATTAATGTAGAAAGAGTATCTGCTTAACAACGTAACAGCAAGGAAGATGAGAGGTTCATGCCAGCCCAGCCTGATCTGTGTTACACAGCTAGTCTCTTCAGCTTCCTAGAAGGGTCAACAAAACAAAGACACTTGAAAAAGTCAGCAGGCTTGTTTTCTGTAAAGCAACCCCACGTGTTGACTAGATCATGTTGAGAAAAAAATGGCTTCCCATTGTTGGTGCCTTAAGTTCGTATTTTGTTACAACTGTTTAACATCTGTCAACTCTTCTAAAACATGTAGATGTACTTGTTAGACTCTAAGGATACATAGGCAGTTTTATTTGTCTACCAAAATGATTAAAATTTTTAAAACAGGGGAATGGGGGGGGAAGGAATAGAAGAATAACAAGTACCTCACAACTACAAGTAAGCCCTGTCTGCTTACTTCTGTCAGTCCTAAAGGAACAATTCCAAGGCAGCAAGCTGCAAGACCCAAGAGCTTCTTAAGAGCACAGGTCAAAGACAAATCAAAACCCTGCTCCTTACCAGAGCAGTCTTTCTCGGTCTGCTCTGACTTACCTTACCCTAGAATCATCACCACAAGACATATGTAAATCTAATACAGCAACCAAGAAGTTAATAAATACTCCCTGTCAAGAGTGACTGCCCTAGCTTGCCCAAAGCATTAGAAGTTGCACAGGGACACCCAGCTGGTGTGAACAGGTCCAGCTGCAGAGAGAGGTACTAATCCAGTGTTATCAAGCATCAGAACTGGAAGCTAACACAACTTTTCAAAAGATGGGAACATGGCAAACAAAATCTTCACACATCTCAGAGGATGCATATTAACAGTCAGAGAAAGCCAGGAATGAAGAATACATGAATTTGAAAGTTGTCATAAACAACTTCTGATAAATTACCTTATTCTATCAAATCTGACAGTAAAACTGTTTATGTAGACTGCATTTATACTGAGCCTGGTGGCTCAGTCAAGCCTGCCTTTTGCAGATAATGATAAGAAACTGTAGATATGCAGAAAGCAAAAGCAAGAATGCCTACTGATATACTTTTACAAATACAAGTATACACTTTAAAAACTTTCAACCAAGCTAAGGAAGACCAGCAGAATTAAATATTACTGTTTCACAGCCAAATTTATTTTGCTGTTTTTCTGCAGGCATTTTTTTGCATATCCAGAGCCCTCACGATGAAACCCTACCCCCGAGCAGTTAGTGGATGTTCTCCCAACTTCACAAGTTTTGATTCCCCCAGCCCTCCCTGCAGGGCCCTTTCTTCTTGCCAAAAAAGAGCAGTAAGAGTCCCTTCAAAGTGCCTACAAGGTACTTCTTCCTCTAGGTTTTCAATGAACTCCACAACAATTTCATAAAAAATGGCTATCAGCCTTTCTAAACATCTCTCTCTGGTCACTGTCAGAGTTACAGCTCTATCATAGGTGATTTTTGACAACTTACTGGGATGAAAGGCACTACCAAGCATCCACCAGGCTTGAAAAAAAACAACTCTCCATGGCTTTGTGCTATTCAGCAGGCATTTGCCAACCTGCAAAAAGCTCCAATCAAGTCTCTCAAGGACATGTCAATTCTAGCAGGTGTACAGATGTTTACTTAGAGTTCAGAAACTAAATACGTACTTAAACATCAACTTGAACATCTGTCCTGACTTTCAAAGGACAAATCAGGTCAGAAATTGAGGTTAAACATGGATTGAGGTTTGTGGCCTCAGATATGTGCATTTGAAAATGTTGGCTGCTCTGCTTTTGCTGCAAATAGATGTTTTCTTGGTATCCAACCATCCTCCCCTTGTACCCCATTTGATAAAATCCACATTTACTAAAAACAAGATAAATAAGAGTAAAAATATTCATCACCATACTAACAAATGTGTAACTGCACACATTCCAAAAATTCAAACCCTGAGTCAAATCCTGAATTTCAAAAGACATTTACTATTTAATACACAAAGCTTAGATGTTTTGTTTGCTTGTTTTAAACCTGGTTAATGTTAACTGAAATCTGACATCATTAATGTTAATTTTTTGTTTTCCTGAAACAACAAACAAATCCTGTTTTAAAATGTTTGCATTCTGCCTCTCCATACAAGACACAGTGACACTGTGGAAGATGCACTGATTGATGTAAAAGAAGTGGAGCTAGTTCTCCATTTCAGAGTGAAATCCAGAAATAAATTGTTTAACTACTACAAGGCAATCTGATTTTGCACTTGTATAAGTGAATGACAAAAGAAATTGGCAACCCATAAAACATAATCCATAATATATGAATTATTTCTCATACATAATTGTAGGTCGAATTTTGAAGTACTCTTAAAAAGAAATAAAAAGGAAGAAGTATTTTGTCTATCCTGTGGAGTTTAACCTAATACAAAGACATGAAGCCAGGGGTGATCACATAAGGAATTTATGGAATTTCCTAATTGGCAAAGCCTTAAAGATAAATGAAACATTGAACTGCATCTACTTAAAATGTTTCCATCTTACAAATAAAGAACAGCATAACACTCCTAAAGCGGATAGACCAAATAATCCAATCCAGTGACGCTCTCATCCGTCACAATGATCTGCAGTGAAGCTGACAGCTTTCTGCGTCAACCCGTCCTGGTTTATATTCTCTTCCTATCATAAGACCTATTCTTTAAACTAATATTGTCCCGTTCCAGCTTTTTGAGATTTTTTTTTCCTCTCCAAACACAGTGATCTAATCACTATGTGATACCCCAGCAAAGTTATCCTCTAGGTAAACCCACAAAATGTTCACCTACCCCCCTAAGTCTGCATTCACATATCTCAGCAACACTACACTGGTACAAATAGTCAAATGGGGCGACCAAGGTTGTGAAGGCTGGCTCTGAAACCGGTGTTTAGCACAACAAATGGGAGTGAGCCACTCATCACTGAAGGTCATAGGAGCTGTGGGTACTTTGACTAGCAGCTACCTGGTTTGGTGCCCAGCGTCAGTGATCTGCTCTGGATGATTAAAGGCGCTTAAGGCTTTCAGTTGCCTCTGCAGTGCTCCGGCAATAGGTCTGAAATTCTGACCTCAGACCTTGACATTGGTTTTGCTTATGTAATGACGTTAATGCCATTTGCAAATCTAAACGCATACATAACCGAGGATTGAGGTTTTATTTTTTTTTTTTTTAAAGGGACCAGCTGGTGGTACTGATGGTACAGTACTCAGTACAGACGGGCTTTACCCTCACACCTACGTCTCTTATTCAGCAAACATGCATTTTAGCTAACAGCAAGAACAACACAACATGAACATGGAATGCAAAATCTGTCACAAATGTAGTGACTACAGAGTCACTATAGCAGTGATGCGACAGATCACATCTGGGTCTGAAGCACATATATCCTAACTAACCAAACCATGCAAACAACCTCAAACACACAAATTGTGTTCACTGGTGCAGATCACACCCTGTGGTGCACACAAAGTGCACTTATTTACTGACAAGGCTTCAATGACATGGATAAGCTTTAGATTAGGCTCCTCAGAAATTTGTCTCTGTTGCTAGCACAGAAGGCGCTGCCTCCTGTCCCAACAGAAGGTGCAGTGTCTTGCACATGAAGGGCTCTTGATTCTGCTATATTGAAAAACTGCCTCCACCTACATAGGGGTGGATGATGTCACATTCCGGCGTCTGGGAGCAAGGACTGAATACAGTCTGCAAGAGGAACTTGACATCTCATTACTGGATCACGCAGAACTTAAAGGGAGCAGTCCTTCAGATCTCCCAACATGAGATTTTCACAGCAGTATCTGCATTTCCACAACTCTCTCATGGACAAAGCCCATAGGAAAACACAAACACCTGCAGGAAAATACACACTGACTTCAGAAACTGAAGTCAGAATGGGTACTACAGTATTATTTCCAGTCTATCTGGAGTAGTATGTAGACTGACACTTAACATACCATTCAGAGTATCTGACTTCACCTGCTTCCTCCGATTTCTAGCAACCTAAGCATTTAAGTCCATAGCTACTCACTCCTCTTGGCTTGCTTAAGTAACTCTCCATCCTCCTAGTAAGTTCCAAGTTGATCATCAAATGATAGAGAGGACAAGCCTTGCAGGGAAGAAATTCCACAAATGGAAAACAGGAAAAAACAGTAGAGAGGAGAGATGTAAATGAGTGCTTGGAGAGAGGGAAATGCTGTTAATATTGAATTACTTTTTCCATGAGGGAGGAGACAACAGGGCAATACGGGTGCACACATTGGCTAGCCAACTGCCCACGTACAGCTGAATACGAACCTGTAATCGTATCTCACTGACGAAGATGGCTTTGAGACATCACTTATTTTCCATTCTTCCATTTCCACAAGTCCCTAAATTTCATAGTTCATAGGCAATTTTCCACTGATTGCTGGGGATTAGCATGATGCTGATTTATAACTTTATGTAAACAGAACAGCATTTTGAGTGGGATTTGCACATATGGAGAGCAACAAATTTGTGCCTAGAGCTTGTTTACATTTTGAGAAAAATATTTCTCGTGTTTACTTATTGGACCACTAGCAAAATTTTTTTAGGAAGCAATTTTTATTTATTGGCTTTGTCCTTTACAGAACACATCTTGCCTTTTACAGTTTGTTTATAATTTATTTTTTTTTTTATTTCCCTCTCTCCTGTAACTATAATTTACTACTAAAATATACTAATTTTGCATTTGCAGCTGCAATATCTTACCAGGATTAAATAAGCCATTATTACAAATACAAAGGTAACAACATGCTTTCTTGCTGAGCTACCTTGAAATCTCAGTATGCATAGGAATAGTAAAAACAGAAATCTACTCTATGAAGGTCAAAAATACAAGCTATTTTTACTATATAAGTAGGAAGAATTATTTCATACTGGTTAAAAGGAAACACTTTAAAAAATGGTCATTTCTGTACTGTAGTAAGACAGGCCTGCCTGTCTTATCACAAGAGAAGGATAAGCACCAGCAATATGAATGGCCAGGAACATATCCTTGAACAACAACTCCAAAGCTCACATAAATTAATTTGTAGTTTCAAGCATTAATTTGTAGTTTCAAGCATATGCTAGGGGATTGGGCTTTGCTTTTGCTGAAGATGTGGCTGTGGAGACATAGAAAGGTCCCAAATACCCTCTACCAAGAAACGCTACTTTCTGCTTTGTTCACTCAGAAAGTTTGACAGTAAGGCAGGGAAGTAAAGAAGTTATAGAATCACCAGTCTCCTAAAATATATACAGGAAGTCACCATCCATGTTACAGAATATCGTCTAAAGCACTGATGATCAACGGAACTGATTAGGAACTGCACCCACCCCAGCATTTTTCAAATAAAAACATAAGGAACAGTTTTCAGTTGTCAAAAGCAATGATAAAAATCAATTAAAATGCAATATATCTTCTAAATAAATGCCCCCCTCCCCCAAGATTTTTATTCATCTGGCACATCACATGCTGTTAAAATGTTGCAAAGAGAAAAATTTTGATTAACAGCAACACAGCTGGAGCCCTGAAAGGTCTGTTGGCGCTTCCTTAGAATTAGCTGACACAACTAATAGCTTTAGTGACAATATGTTATCGCTTTATTTGACCATCATCTGAGGATGTTCTGGCTCTCACCATGTGCTCCTACACAGAACAAATATTTAGCAGAATTCCAAGAAGGCACATTTTCATGAAAAAATTGTGTTTGAAGCAGAAAAAAATTTATATGAGATGGTTTCAACTGGCCTAGGACTTAAGTTCTCCAGCATGCAAGTCCAACCTTATAAATGTAAATTGGAAAAAGCTTTCTCTAGAAATATATTGTCCTATTACCACCTGATGCACACACATTCTTATACTTGGTTTTGATGCCTTTCACAGAAGCCTCCACCAAACAGAGTACTGAACTTGATGGGCTATGCTGTGTCAATTCGTGGATTCCTGAGAGGTTCTGGATACCCTGTGACCCAAAAATAAGAAACAAAAATGGAAAAGCTAGGAACTTCTGTGGGCTTACAGGAGAACATCAGTCTAAATATTGTAATAGAGGATAAGTGAAATTGAGTTCATAGTCTTTATTTCCCACACACAAAGTTACCCTGTAGAGTACATTTGTCAGCTTCTGCTCAGAAATCACTCCTGCATCATCATCGAAAAGCCTGGAGAATTAAACTGTTGCAAAGCAACCCAGAGAGGTTTGAACAGAAGCTGTGTCACTGTGTACAGCTGCACCAAAGAGTGACAAAAGAAGGAATTCCCCAATGGTCATATAATCCTCCTCACCTGTGCCACTCCTTTGCTGCCTCCTAGCTCTGCAGTCCACCAGGCTGTATGGCTGATTCAGGTTTAATAGTACTGTGCTAACAGATTACATTACATTTCTGAAAGACAGTACAGTCAGACCACTAATTAGGGTCCACTGGCAGATGGGAGTGTGAACACACTCTGGACCATCCATGGGGTTGCATGGTGCAGTCACTCTTCGGAAAGCTGCTGATTCATTCAAAATACAGCTTTAGTTGCCCCTGCTCCTGGGCACACTAGAGCTCGGTGCACCTATGCAGCAGGGGAAGTTGCAACTTCAGGTCCAAGGAACTTTGTGCTGGGTCGTTAAAAACTGTTCTTTTACACAACCTGCTTCACTATCTCAGCATTAGGCTGACTGCATGGTTTTAAAACTTTGTACAAGTAATGGCTGAGCATATTTTCTACCTAGAGGCATTTACACAACTTGTTCCAGACCTGGTAGCACCCAAATACCCAAATATTAGGGATTTATTTTTTTCTTTTGAAAATGCTGTATGATTGTCTCATTACACCGAAAGAAAGAAAGAAAGAAAGAAAGAAAGAAAGAAAGAAAGAAAGAAAGAAAGAAAGAAAGAAAGAAAGAAAGAAAGAAAGAAAGAAAGAAAGAAAGAAAGAAAGAAAGAAAGAAAGAAAGAAAGAAAGAAAGAAAGAAAGAAAGAAAGAAAGAAAGAAAGAAAGAAAATGAACGAACAGTAGCAACAAAGACCACATCCATATCCTTCACTAGAACACAGGAGAATCTCCTACCCTCATTAGGGTAGGAAATCGCCCACACAAAACAGTAAATGCAACACCTTACACCTTTTTTCACTGTGCTTTTTTGGACAGAAGAGTATGTATAGAGGAGAGCCAACTCATGCTATTAGCTGAGCTTCCCACAGATCACCTTGCAGTTACATGTTCATGTGCCCTTATCCTCAGGTGCTTGATTGGGAAACACCTGGCTTGGACAACCCAGTGCCTGCAGCACCAAGCTAAAAACTATAAATATTTATAACTCCACTGAGAGGAACAGAGAATGATTTGCGTGACTTGCTCCAGGCTCACAGACTGACTCAGCTGAGGGCCAGGATTAAATTTGAGGAGTTCCCCACTCCTAGGCCTATGGTCAGCTTACTGGTCTGTGTATTGCCAAGATTATTGCCTCATGTCATACTTCAGAACAGTGGTGAAATGCAACATTGTGTTATTATGAGTCACCTAATCTTTTCAGATTTATTAGGTACAACAGATCAGTAACACAAATTTTAAAGAGACTTTTCATTCATTAAGCAATCAATTTCCATCATTAATGTTCACATAAAACATGGCCAGTTTTCTGGTTCAAGCCTACAACAGACCGCTTAGCATCATATCCTGTGTTTTTAGTGTTTTTCAGGGCTAAAAGATACGAAAAAGCAAAGCATACAGAGAATTAATCCTTCTCTTTCCTCATGAAAGAAAAAAAAATCCTCAGCATCAGCACACAGTAGAGCTTTCTGTAGACACCAGTGTAAATGATAGGAATGCCTTAAAAGGCCCAACTTATCCATGTAACAGTGTATCACTGACATGACAATTTTTAGTTTGGCACATGTGAGAAGGGATTCGCTCCATATTTCTATTTCAGAATTGACTGAATAGCAATTGACCCAGTAATCGGGATCTACACTATCTATAGTTATCTATAGATAGAATTTCTACCAACTCATTACCTACTTCTATCCAAAACTAATTTGCAAGACTTTCCACAAGTTTGATTAGTTGCCACCTATATATGTATGAAATGACATATCCATGTTTACCAATTAGAATTAGTCTAATACACACAAGCATCAGATTCTTTGTGCCTTGCTCAGCCATTATTCCTCTTCATCCTTTGACACTGATAGGTAAAAAATGAATGTCCATTTCCTCTTGTGTATACAAACTACAATACTGAAGTCATATGGGTCTAACTCACCACCAACTTTTAAACATGACATTCATGGCATAATAACATCTAAGTATTTGCTTCAAGATAGGATTTGCCATGAAGTCAAATAAATCCCATCTTAACATCTGAACACCTAAAGCTAAAAACTAGTCTAAGCTGAATGGAAGCACTCAAATTCTCTGCCTTAAGACCTCTATGGACAGTGACACTGTGATATTATAATTAAAATTTTAAACTAAAAAGGAAATTTCTGCTTGACATGTAATGCGAGTTCACTCATTACTAGGTGGTGGCTGAGCTCATACAGAGGAATATGTAGGATACCGAACATGTATTTGAAGTATCAGTACTTTTCTCTTCCAGTATATACTTCTGACACAGGAAATTGATCTGCTTGTGAAAGTTGCAGGACCTCAAGAAGTTTCAGGATGCAGCAGAACATCAGCCTGACCAGATGAGTTTGAGACCAAATGTTCTGGTCAAATCCTGCTGCTTTGTAATGCTCTGGCATTACCCAAAACTCAGCTTATCTTCTGAATTCTTCTTTGCCCAACAAGTACAAATACTCAGCTCCATCCTCCATATGAAGAATGAGCTATTTGGGCATTCCTTAAAAATAGACACACGTGCAGGACTTGGAGAATAGGTTCCCACTTCCAAGGGGAAACCATTGCCCTTGCACAAAGCTACAAAGCTTTACTAGCACTATTTCTATGCTGTGTTCAGAACTCTAAGTTCTTTATATTCTCTGATGACTGAGAAGAAACAGTAGAATGAAGAAACCCTTGCCCAGGCATTTTCAGTAAGGGTTTGGTCAGAGATCTTTAAGAAGAGATTGACATATCATCCTAATTGCTTTTTACAAGCTGATGAGAAGCTCTACAATTATCATGTGTTTTGATCTTCACTGATACCTACCTGCTACAGAAAATTACACACTGCACAGTATCGTGCTGTAAGGATACTTATTTCCTTTTCCATCCTGTTATTAATTGCTCTCCTTTTTGAACTTGCAGCATCTCCTGCACCAGTGACCAAAATGGAAGAAAATGCAAACACTAGCTTGGACGAAGATTTTGAAGGACAAGCTACACACACAGGCAAGAAAACTGACTATACTTGTTTTCCAAAAGAAAGCTAAACTGTCTCTGCTCACTGGGAAAGCCTGGAATCCAGGTATTTTCACTGGGTTGCCAAAATCCTTGCACAGAAATGTATGCTGCAAATCCAGTGAGAATATTCACCGATCTACTCTCTTCAGTGACCAGTAATAGGCCCCAAGGGAATGGAGTCAAGCTGCAACAGGGGAGGTTCAGACTAGATAGCAGGAAGAGGTTCTTCACTGAGAGGGTTGTCACGCACTGGAACAGGCTCCCCAGGGACTCAATCATGGCACCAAGCCTGTCAGAGTTTAAGAACTGTTTGGTCTGTGCTCTTAGTCATATGGTCTGAATTCTTGGGTAGACCTGTGTGGTGCCAGGAGTTGGACTCGACGATCCTTGTGGGGGTTGGAAGGGAACCCCCTTCCAACTTGGGATATTCTATGACTATGATATTTTGGATTCAGTGATGCCCCTCATAGAAGGGCACGTAACATCAAACTGATTTTGACACCAGTCCTCCTTGTACTTCAAACAAATGACAAATTCAGACACCTGAGGACAGCAACTGCCCAATGCAGACCCTAATAGTTTATTGATTCAGTCACAAACAAAATGCTTTTCTTCTTTGGGGGAGGCAGAGGGGGAGTGGGAACAAGAATCACAATGCACTAGAATTAGGTTACAAGGTTTCGCTTTAAAAAAAAAGAAAAATTATTTTTCCTTCTTATGGAAGGAACATTCAGTGTTAAAAATATATCTATAAATCCTTTTGGCAAATACAGCATAGCATTTAAAATCTTTAAAAGCATCCTTGCTCAGACCATAATTCTTTTTAAAACAGCCCTCAATCACCATGAATTTTTATGAGTACTCACACTGTACTCAGTTCTTCAGTTATCACTTCATCCTATCACCCTAACAGGTCACTGTATGCTTTAAGACAATCATCCCTCTCTGTGCTCCAACAGCTTCTTTTTCTTGTGCTGTAACAACTCTTGCAGCTCTTATAACAACCATTTTTAGGGTTCTTTCCCAAGTTTCCCAAGCAGCCTTGCTGCTGTTGGTTAAGATTTCCACCACCACCCCCCCCTTCCCCCTCCAGAGACCTAAACGTAGGCACAACATCCACTCTTAGTCTTCAAAATAATTTGGAAAATCAGGTCACTGTATACTTAAATCATTATCACTATGCCAAGCCTTTCAGGTTAATTCCTGTCTTGGAATCTTATTTGTAGAAGATAATTCACCTTCCCTTTCCACCTAGGGGTATAGTGCTTTTAGCTGCCTCTTTGAGATGCTGAAGTTTAATCCAAAACAGACTCTTAGAAAAATGGCAGCAGTACTCTCTCCTCTATCTCAGGAGAGGGTGGTGAGCTTCTTACCTAGCCTTTAAGTCCTCCATTCACCTCTGAAAACACTGAAATATTCCTTGGTTTTGCTTTATAATGTAAGGTGCAGGTTTAAGTGTTTTGTTTTGAAAAACAACACTGGATTTTTGAGCTGAAAGTGTCTTCTGCCCACCCCCCCAGTTTAGTCAATCAACCAGCTCCAAAGAACAAGATCTGCATTACAATCAGAATTATCATACCAATGCCTTACAGGTTATTATTCCCAGGGAACTGATATGGCTTTAAAAACAAAAATCTTGGCTGTCTTATGTTCTTAACTTTACTATCAATGTCCACTCCTTATGCATGGTACATATTCAAAGACCCCAGTCATAAAGATAGACAAATGTACAGTTACAAAACATTGGCCTTAGCCAAGACATCAGTTTTAACAGGCTTTCATTTGCCATTAACTATTCACATAGCTCACCAAAATCCTTTTATATGATCATAACACGTACCAGACCACCTAAATGATGCAGGTTAGAAATATATTAGTTTTTCTTTTGGGGGTCCATGCAACACATTGGTTCCTAAACTCTGGTTTTCAGCACTCCTAGAGAGTGCTCTGAAATTAAAAGAGGTGGATAAATTGCTGCACAGAAGGACAAGACAACAAAGGGCAGAAACTTAAGACAGATTCTTGTTGCAGTCGGTTTTTCATCTAATTTCTTCTCTCTCAGGGCCCAAAGGTGTGATCAATGACTGGAGAAAGTTTAAATTAGAAAGTGAAGACAGAGACTCCTTACCCTTGAGCAAGAAAGAAATTCTTCGACAGATGTCTTCTCCACACAGGTCTTTCAGTAAGGATGATAAAGACACCAGAGATAGATTCTGTCGTAAGGTAAGAGGAAAAATAAGCAAAGTAAATACATTTTGATACCATATAAAATGCACAAGTCTATAAACACGAAAATCCTGAATTCACCAGACTCAATTCCTTGGCAATTTAGGAGAGGTCTTGTCATATGGACAGAACAAATCAGAACTACTGACTAGCTTTACTTTGTATTTATACTGTTGTTATAAATGAAGTCTCAACTCAATCTGAATTTTGTAATATTTATAAAAATTATAAAAGCTATAAAAGGCAAGTAAACAGCGCTGGGTGTGCGGGGAGTCTACACTGCACCAACACGCACACATGAACATCAAACATCCTAAATATATAGAAGATTGCTTTACATACTAAACCCGAGTATGCCTATACATACATACAATCAGGAAAGGTAACAATCCTTTAGGTTCCATGACTTAACAGTCTCCATTTTCCATTCCTTTTTAACAATATCTTTTGCTTTAAGTTGCCACCGCAACTCGGCCTTCGGGCCTTACATATCCTGTTCCTTCTGGATCGAAGAAAAGCATATCCATCTCCTTTTCAAGGCCAATAGGGCCTGTGTCAAAAGGCACGTCCAGGTCACCAGGGGGCGGAACAGCAAAAGCCTTCGATGGCTGTAGCAGCAGAGGGGCCCATGGCGTAGCAGTCGGATCAGTAAAGGAGCCCGCAGCTCCCTCACTGTCTGGCAAACCACACGTTTGTGACTGCGGTCCCACAGGGCTCTTTAAGGCCTCAGGGACTGCTCGCAAGGTACCGAGCAATCCCACTGCAACCTTGTCGGTTTTAGTTGCAGAGTCCCACACCTTGACCTCAATTTGGTCCCGTGTTTCAGGCTCATAAACTGTCTGACTGTTAACAAGGAGAATAAGCTGTAAGGTTACCAGGACAGTCTTTGTTCCTAAGGACATATGATTCCCCATAGTGCCCGGCTGCTTACCAGCGAGGGGCAGTTGTGTACCCGGCTCCGCTTCTCTCAGCTTGAGCTTCTTCCCAGCTCCGGTGCGCCTATGTCCAGCAACTTTCAGTACGAGCTTCTCTGAGCAGTTTGCTGAGTCTGGCCGAACCTATCTTCATGAGGCGATCAATGTGCCTGTTCCTGTCCTGGTCTCCATTCCGCTAGCCTGTCCCTATTCATTCCTTCTTTCTGCTTCTTTATTGATGACGTAACTTCATCGTGTTGCCTTTTTTTATCTTGAGGACAGGCTCCCCTCTTACATCCTTCTCCCCACAGCAGTTCTTTTCAAAAGAACTTTTCATTGGTCAAACAACTTTGCATATAACAGCAACAGCAAACACCCAGAAACTTCCATGCCTTAACCGCTGGAGAACAAGAAACCTGAGACTGCATGGAGTCTCCTGAATCACCCTTCTTTGTTCCAAGCAACCCGAGACTGCATGGAGTCTCCTGAATCACCCTTCTTTGTTCCCCCTAAACTCTTTTACATTCTTGATGGCCTCATTGTTAAGAGTCTGATGTTACCATCAACCACGGGGCTTTCCAACCCCCATGGCCACACCCTCAAATCTCCCCCTTCTTTATCAACCATTTTCTCGACAGGAATTACCACTCCATGTATTATACTGTGAATTTAATATAAAGCATCTCCTTGGGCACAGATAACACTACTAACACTAAGTGGCATGCAGCTATGTAGTGTCATTGAACGAGAGCATATTCAAAGAACAAAGACTTGCTTACCATGAAAATAGCAACACCTGATCTAAAATACAGATCCAACTGTCTATCTAGCTCTGTCTCCAGCAGGGTCTAACTTCCGTAAAACAAACAGAATACTTCACAACAACATACCACACAATCCTGTGAGTCTGACCTTTCATGCTTCCTTCCCTGCCTCAATGGTCAATGCTTGGTTAAGGAAATTAAAAGGTTTTTTAGGGTGCTTAAAAACCTTGATATGGGATCTTCCTGCCTGTCTCAAGAGACATTAAAGAAACACTAGGAAATTGTTCTTCTTGCTAAGCTTTCTATGCAGCATTCTTTAGACAGCAACTTATTCTCTTCCTGTTTGAGTGTCAACAAATGACCACTTATTTATACAGCATTCTCTCAATATTCACAGATGAGTATGCAGGAGTATGAATTAATTCAAGATGACAAAGAAGATGAAAGCTGCCTACAAAAATACCGCAAACGCTGCATGCAGGATATGCACCAGAGGCTAAGTTTTGGGCCTAAATATGGTTATCTGTGTGAGCTGCAAAACGGAGAACAGTTCCTGGAAGCCATTGAAAAAGAACGGAAGACTACCACCGTCATTGTCCACATTTATGAAGACGGCATCAAGGGCTGTGATGCTCTGAACAACAGCTTAACCTGCCTTGCTGCTGAGTACGCCACTGTGAAGTTCTGCAAAATCAAAGCCTCTGACACTGGGGCTGGAGACCGCTTCTCAGATGAAGTGCTTCCCACCCTGCTCGTCTACAAGGGTGGGGAGCTCCTGAGCAATTTCATTAGCGTTTCTGAACAATTCAACGATGAATTCTTTGCTGTGGATGTGGAGTCTTTCCTAAATGAGTATGGGTTGCTACCTGAAAGGGAGCTTCCAGCACTGGGAAATGGTAACACCGATGAGCAAGATGTTGAATAATTGGAGAGCCACAATCCTCACTCTTATGACTCCCCTCAGTATGTTATAAATCCATCTCAGTAACACCCATCTCATTTAGAGAAGGATCTCTTTGCTCCCTAACTTATTTGTAAGATACACATATAAATATTTCTCAACTGTTAGCATGTGAATTTTACTGGAAACACCTACAACAGCCAGTCCTGTACATACTTATTTACATACCTGCCACAAGCAATAGGAAGAACAGGGGATAACATCGGTGATCTCTAAGAAATCAGGGACACACAAAAGTAAGGGCCCAACCATGCACAAGACCTACTGCATTTCAACAGCAACAGAACTGACCTACCCCTCTGCACAGAAGAAAAGCCATCCCCAGGCTCTGAAATTATGGAGTGGCCTGGCTCAAAAGATTCACTTCTCCAACCATCTTCAGTAGGAACAAGACCTCATCAAGCAAGACCTCATCCAGCAGTTTTTAAGGACAAACAAATAGCCTGAATTCCTTGCATTCCTAAATGGCTTAGGTATCTCATAGAACCACAGAATGGTTCGGGTTGGAAGGGTTTAACGGTCATCTAATTTCAACCCCCTGCCATGGGCAGGACATTATCTTATGTTTCTGCATTTCAGTTTTAGTAATTGTGAAAATACAGAAGCTAGCTCATCGCTTTTATTAACTTTGTCATCCAAACTGCTAACACAAACAAATTAGCTGGTAATTTCAGTTTATCATTGCTGTATGTTTTGAACTGTAATATTTAAAATATTTGCAAGTTACTGAAAAATTATATTGTGCTTATGTAATAACTCTGAATAAAACTTAACAGCTCTCAAAACCTGCCATGAGGCGCGAGAAACATGTTTGCAATACATACCCCTAACCTTAAAAATATGGGAAATATTAGTAAACATTTATTCAAATTTTAGTGTTAGCAAAAGGGATGCTGCAGAGAACTACAGTTTATAAACCTGTTTAAGGAAGATACATGGTAAATTCACTATAAATTCACTGGTTCTCCCCCTCCCTGTAGGCATAAAGACATCCAGCTCCTCCAGTTCCAATACAAAAAAGTGAAACTTTAATAATGTTTCAGTGACTTTTGCACTGTGGCAAAGCTGAAGGCTAAACTTTACTTTGAAGACAGAAATATCTGTATCTTGCTCTGATGATAAAAAATATCCACGTCTTGATCACAGTTTTTCTGATAACATTTGAGATTACCAAAATCTTAAAAGACGAGTTTTGACTTAACTGATTCACTTATCAGTTTTTATTTGATTTGGTAGTTTCAAATTTTGCTCAATTTAGAGCAAGAGCTTCCAGTTCTGCTTCAGGTCAGGATCCCACCATGGAAAAGTCTGAACATGGATCAGTTGGGATTCAGTGACTAGCATCAAGGAACTATTGCTGCAGTGATACAAACCACATAGCTCAATTTCCATGACCACATTAAAAGCAGGCTCCTCATTATTCTTTTAAACACATTTTCTTCCACTTCTCCTTTGCATGGAAAATTCACAGGATAACCAAAAGTCACTACTTTCCAAAAGATCTGCACAACAAAATAATAATGCTCTAAACATTTTTGAAAAATATGACCGTGTAAAAAATTACTGTAGGAATCACCATAAAGCCTTTTAAACGAAATGATTAAGACCCAACTTATGACTCATTTTTGAAAAATGACAAAAAACAGTTTTTCATTTGTCCAGTTTTAAAGGCCATCAAAATACTACTGAACTGAATTTCTACTTTTAATATTGTTTTGTTATGGGTTAATGTTTTAATAAAGCATTCAAAACCCCACCTCACATAAATAAAGCAATATGAAGTTTCGTATCTCAGCAACACAATCTCTTTCAATCTGTAAAGCAATTCATGGTTTCATTTCACCAAGAAGTGTCAAATGGTACCTTCCCAAAATTCCATGATTTCAGTGTTATATATTTTTTATTTTATTTTATTTTTTTTTTATGAATACAAACGTGATATAAGTTCTTTTCTGGTGGATGTCCTGACGAAATAATGCTGGCACCACTCTCTTCCCTTACAGCAGACCTTTTCCCCCTTCAACAAGCATTGATGCTTACCCCTCAGTTAAAAGCACCTAAATCTTAGTATTTCATTTGCATCAGCATGTCAAATTTTCAAAAAGCTACTCTTTGCAGGTATACCTAACATTTTGAAAACCTCATATTAATATAGCAGGTTATACAGAAAATAAAAAATTACCTTCTGTTCGTCAGAAAAAAAATAGCTCCCTAAATAGCAGGATATTTGTCCTGGGTGAAATGTTTGAAACAGGAGGTATGAAAAGTTTGTCCTTTACACACCAGAAAACCTCCACATAACTGGCTGGAGGTTAACACTCTTGAGAACTCTCCCTCTTCATCAAAAATGGTTCAAAAGTTCAGAAGAGATGCACACCAGCAGTCTACTCACGTAAGTCTCATTTTTTTGAGAAACCAGACTGAAAGCAAAAAAACCCTTAGAAACAATAACCAACCCAGAAATTACATTAATAGCTAGTTGTAAGAAACAAGCTGACAATCCAATTTAAAAGACAGATTAAGCATGCTTAAGCAGGATTTCTTTCCACCTACAATTAAAAAAAAAAAAAAAAGAAAGAAAAAAAAATGTGACACCAAGCCTCAACAGAACTTCATGACTAAGTTTCATATAAAGCTGTGCTCACAGCAGTCATCCTTATTTCTGCAGGGAAAACAAACAAACAAACAGAAAACACATACTAGAAACTTAAAAACAAAAAAGCAAGACCTGACTCAAACATCATCCTACTGTACAGGAGATTCTTGAATAACAAGTAGTAAATGTTTTAACAAGCACATGGGAGCAGCCTTCCTGCTATCCTCATCTACAGTTATTCTTCTGTTTGACTCAAAGTGGCAGAGACCCTGCACACCTTCAGACACACCAACACAAACAAAAACCCTAATTATCAGTGGCGTCACTGCTGATCAGACTGAGAATAGAAGCTCTAGTAGGTGCACTTCAGTTATTGACATGCTGAAAGATAACCCTTAGAATTGAAGCTTCTGGATGTAAACACAGCAAAAGAAATACTGATGAATTAAAGGGACAAGCAGAGAGAAAAAAGTTTGTTTAAAGTATTCCACAATTTCAATTTTAGAACTACATTTAGAGGAGACAGATTTTTCTGACATGGAAGTTCCAACAGCTCCTCTAGACTCTTGCACATTACAATAAAAATCTGTTTGCAGATATAGATACGAGTCTCTATTTCAGTCACAATGGTATTTTCACATACGGAAAGCTTTAGATTGTCTAATTATCAGGAAAAGGATGTGCCTACATAAGACCTGAACAAAAGTTAAATAAGTCAATAAATAGACATTTAGAAGTTTGCTTTTCTTTTTTCTAACACATACCTTTTAATCTTCCTTAAAATAAATCAATATCTCAGGTTGTCAATGGCCTAACAGTGCAAAGGGGATGGGAAGCAAGAAGACAATGAAATCCCTACCATAATTCTTAAACAAGTGAGAACCTGCTTTCTTCTACAACCACTATTTCCTCACAGCAGGATGACTGGAAGGCGCAATCTGTAGATACAAGTCAAATTACTCATTTTTGCTTTGATGGGGTTAAATTGTTTTCTTACTGCACAGGTAGTTACAAAATGCACTCTCCTTTATTAAAGCAGAAAGCTCATCAAGGGTAACTTCTTTCTTCACCTTCTTCCAACCTCAAACTACAATACTAAACTATCATAGATCCTTGATACTTAGTAAATTATAAACTGAAGGCTTAATTCTACAATTAATGTGATAACATCACAAAGATCATTTAGTACACTTTGAAATATGCCTGCATGTAGAAGGGAGAATAGAGTTCTTTGCAAGGGGATCCATGGAACATCTAAACAAGCTGTACTTTTTTTTTGAGTAAAATACACCCACAGAAACTGCAGGCAAACTCCAGCTGGAGTCTGGCAAGAGGGGTGCAACTTAGTGACTTTGCTGTTGTTTAGGGTACAAAGATCACGCTTTTTCTAATCTCATACCAAATCATTTAACCATTAAGTAAGCCAGACAAGAGCCACACTTGGGCAAGAAAATATCAAGTGGATACAGGTTTAAGAGCATGCTTGTTTAAAAAAGGAAGAGGGAACTTCTATGAAATCAAGCCCTGGTCCTCCAGAGACCCAGACAGGAATGAGACAAATAGAACAACAGGTAAGGAAAAAAACAACTGTTTCTTCCTATTATTACCCTGCCCTACCTTCTTATAGAGGCTGTAGTAGAACAATTTTTAGACCAAGCATGTTTTGGAGCACATCGGTAAATTCATCTCGTTTTCTGGACAGCACCCAACTTCCACCATAGGAGTGCTGGAATTGACTGCTTTTGCATAATGTCACTTTGTATACTGATTCCACTCATTTGCACAGAGCAACACACATCTGTAAAATATGCAGCAGCTGAAGGACTTATCTGAAAGCAATGTTTCCAATTATAACATTCACTTTTCCCTGAGAGGCTCTACTTGAGCAATACTGAGCACAAAAGATAGCACTGTGTCAACACTCAAAGCAGATAATTTTAACAAACATGTGAAAACAGAATACAGAGACAAGAGGATTTAAAATGCATCCTTTTCATTGTTGCCTTTTATTAAAGGTATCAATACATACTTTATTATGCTTTAGAACCTAAGTGTTTATTTTCCATAGTGCTCCAGAACCTTTACACTAAAAAGAAATTTGCAGTGGTATTAAAATGCCCTAAAATCTGGAATTCTATTCTATTGTAATTCAGATCCAAACAAACATCATATTTTATATAGGCATTGCCTTTACTAATTTCACTAGAGTTTTTCCTTCCTCCTGCTTTTCTAATGGTAAGTTTACAATAATGTTATCGCTTAACATACCCAGGAGAATATCTTATAATGAAAAATTATCTCCTTATATTCTATAAATCATGATTAGCAAACAAATTTTGACAACTTAGTTATCTAAAAGATAATTAGAGCTACCTAGATGAAAGCTGTTGCTGAAATAGTTAACATTTTAAGAGAAAGATGACTGAATCAGGGCTGGACAGAGAAATTGTCATCAGAAGTCAGGAAGTAAGAGACAGCATATCTATATCCCAGAAGTTCAATATATTTTACTGATTTCTGAGTTCTCTGGGTCTTAAACTAAGGTATTTACAGTCTGAATTGGTCTACCAGAAACTATTTGTACACCTAGTAAGACAGTTAACTAATATTACCTAAAAATGCATGTGGTGAGATGTTGGCTTCATAAAACCTAGTTTTTCCCTAATTAAGTTTAATGAGATAAGATTTCTCTCAACAATGGAACCTCTAAAGCAAGAATTCCCATACTGGGAAACTCTGCTAGTATTACCAATAGCCTGAAAAACACCAGCAGGAGTATTTTACATTAAAATAGCAAGTCGGAGAAAAATTGAGGTTCTGTATTGGTTTAGGGGCTCTTTCTAGAGCACACTACTATTAATTAATTTATACACAGTAGCAGAGCTAGCTTCTTAATAACTTGATTCACTGGCTACCTGATATAGTAACTATGTGCTGGAACAAGGTAGCTGAATGTATCATTAGAATTTATATTGCACATCTAACTGGTGTCATTTAAGTAACAATTCTCAGTTACTAATGTATTAAACTCAGACGTTTCAGTCTTGTGTAAGTGTGATTACTGATCAATATGTCAATGAGGCTTCTTTTTCTTGATTTCAGTCGCTGAAGTAATTGAAAGAGAAGATTGATGCAAAGACTGCAACAGCAGCTGCTATTACCACACCTAAAAACAACAAAAGAATATAATTCAATGAGTGGCAGTGGCAGCACAGTCATCAGCAGCTAGGGTGTGGAGGGCAGGGTCAACATGAATGACAAGCAAGAGGAAAAACAGTAAAAGCCACCCCAAAAGCCAAGTACAGGAAAAAAAAGGACTGATGATTCACAGGAAAACATGGTTATATGCAAAACAAACAGAAATTAATACTTTTCTGCTTTAATCTTCCAGTTACCATGTTCTAGGCTTAAGAATTAATGGAAAGCAAATGATACCGTTTTGATGACTGAAGTGTAATTATTATAAGACAAAAAGGTAGTCAAAGCTCACAGCAAAGAGAATTCCAATAAGTGCAGCCAGATGTATGAGAGCTGGACCAAGGGATATCATGGAGATGTTGTAGTTGGAGGAGTTCTGTGACTGCTCTTCCCCCAGTTTCTGAGGCTGACAATTATCACCCAAGCCCATACATATTTATCAGCATAAGAAGAACCTTAATAAGTCACTAGCCAATTTCACGATATACCTACTTGAACAAGCCACGCAACTGTAGTTTTGTTTTTCCAACTACAGAATTATAGAAGTGATGGCTCTCCAACAAAGAAAAAATCTACTTAAGCTTTCTGTATCAACTTGTAGGCTGAACAAACTGCAAGCACTGGATTTGTTAAAATAGCAGCTTGCAGTTCTTTCCTCCCCCAAAACACCGTGCCTCTACAGCTGTGAAATCAGGACACATCTTTAAAAAGCTGTTGCATTAGGACAACAGGAGGGATTAAGACATTTTTAAATTAACCTTGCCAGCTGTGAGAATAACACCACCACCATGGAAGCAAACTTTAGTGAAAAGAACCCATTAGAATTTCTGATTTGCCACAGCAGAAACAGTGAAGTAACATACCCATATTTTGTTGCAGTTTCATCAGCAACGTTGCTTTTGTCAGTTGTTTCTGTTGTGTGTCATCTGTGTTTTCAATAACTGGACAAATATCAACTGCATGGAAATCAAGTGAACAATACCAGGTGAAAAGCTAACATCTGCATTTCATAGTTATGTTAATGCAAAATACTATCGACTTTACAAAGTATATTTATGTTAGAAACTTACAAAGTACATTTATGTTTAGAAACTTACAAACTATATTTATGTTAGAAACAACAGTTTATTCTAGTAGAAATGCTACAGCAGCTACCCCAGACATATGAGACAGACTAACAAACTGCTCCTGTTCTGAAAACAGAGGGAAAAAAAAATACAGCAGTGCCAATTATCATGTCTACAAAATATTGATCTAAATAATAAATGGATCTCCCATTTCCAGAGTGAGATTGTCAATCTGCTTTAATTACAAATTGCATAGCTGACTAATACAAGGCACATCCCATTATGATTCATGTGCTAATGATTCATGGAAAAGTACTTTATCATAAAATATGGGGGAATGTATAAACCAAGTGTGTGATCAGATGGGCTGTTTCTGTCATGTAAGATGAGTCATGTATATATATCTTCAGAATCTTAAGTCTGATTTGCACAAGATCTTCAGTTTCAAAAAAAGCATTCAAACTCATCTTTTACAAGCTGTTTTTAGCCATTTCTACCCCTGAATTGACTGGCTTTGTATAGGATGTACTACAGCATAGCAGTTAAGAACTGTTTGATATGAAACTTAACAGTATATATACGTATATACATATATACACACACATACACACACACACCAAGCATAAACACAGCTTTAAGACGTCTCTGCAACTTGCACAAAATACATAAAATAATGGCAAAAAGTTTCAACGCATGGGAGTGATTTTTTGAACAGGAATTATCATCACTTTAAAGTCCATTTGAGGATGTCATTTCATCATTATTTTTTCTGTGCAAAGGAAAACAACTTGCAGATATCTGCTTCATACAAATGTATGCATATATTAAATAATAACTTATTTAATGTATGCTTAACTGTTACAAGATAGCTTTTCAAGTAAATACCTTAACCAGCAAAATAAGAGCATCACATTCTCTCTAAAGTACTTAATAGTTTTCACTTCCCTAAATAGCATCTTACTTTTAGAGAAGTTGACCATATTTCTTGGGTCCCCATTGAAGCCTAGATCCAGCAGATTACCTTCTCCTTTATTTCCGATGAGCAAGTAGGGCAGTTTGGGCCCTTTAGCTTTATTTTTTTTTTACCCACTGTTTTAAGGACAGTTACACCTCTCTGAAAGAAACTGTTGAAGCTGCACATCAAGGCAACAAAGCTCACTTGCTCAGGGAAAAAAAAAAAAGGAATGAAGCAGTAAAAAAAAAAAAAAAACACAAGCTCTTTAGTTACTGAAGGTATTTATACCATTAAGTTATGGAAGGCCTATATTTGAAGCAGCTGTGGTATAAATCACAAGGAGTTTTTGAAAGCAGAAGCTTTCCATTACCAATTATATGAATCCTTAATTCTTCATTAAATCTTCAATTTTCTAACAAAGATGGGGAAGAGATTACCACCACCACCTCATCTACTCAGTGTATTTAACATCCCCCACCCCAAGCAGGAACAGGGATTTAGTAAAGCCAATATTAAATGCAGAGCTTTCAATTGCATGTATTAAAGTACTAAATACCTTGAAACCACAGTGTTAGAGCCGTTTATACCTTTCAATTACAAATAGGTCATTTTTGTTCTCTTTTCCAAGTAACAATTTTAAAGCATGGCCCATAGCGACCTCACTGGAGAGCTGTTCAAAGAATTGAGAGAATAAAACTGCAGGAGACAGCAGCAGGCCATATTAAGAAAGCACACCTGACCCTCTCAAAATATCTTTGTCATATGTGCTGACTAAATGCTGTTTAAAAAAAAAAAAAATCTTAACATTGCATTGACTGGATGCTCTTCTTGACAAGTTTCCTGTTTTAAAGAGTATCATTTGAAAAGCCTGCTCATTTTTTTGAATTTTAAACAGTACTTTTTAAAAGCAAAGGTTCCCCACAATTTTCTAATGGAAATAATTCCCACAGTTAATTCAAGGTTGGTGTCTAAAACCACAATAATTGGGATACAAACAGAAAGACGTCAAAATTCACAGCAAAACAATTTATAGTATTAGTGAATATTGACTGTCATTACTAAAGCCAGCTCCAAGCTCTGAGAAACAACAAATCCCACCCATATTAGGATGATGCACTGTGAATACACAAGGGAAACCCCAAATTTATGCCACAAAAACATGTTTAAAGCAATCTATGAAAACTTCATTTCAAAGTAACAAAAAAAGTCAAACTGCAAAATGAATGCTTTTCTTTAAAATAGATAATAGTGGGGGGGTGGGAAGAGCAGGCAGCTAACAGGTCTGATTTCTAAAATGGCCTCCTAGCATTAATAAAAATGAAGAGGCATTTTAACAAACGACAAGCTAATAATTTCACAACGATAATTATCAGAATCAAACAGCACGGCGTTCATAGCATTATTGCCACCACCACTGTTAACAGAACTCACTCTTATAAACAAACATTTAGGTGTTCACTGGGGCAAGGTCAGTCTCTCCTTTTTTTTCTGAAATCCTTTTAGTATGTTTTTCCCCTTTCTTCTTCTATATGTTTACTTTAATTCACGTTAAAAAAATACCATGTACCTAGCTCTATAACCAGCAAGTGATGAGAACAGCTGACAAAGTGAATTTGGGTATCTGGACATCACTTTAGACATATTAGTGGCATCAAATCTTTGTGATGCATTACTGTTACTCTAAATTATGCTTTCCTCCTGCCTCCAGATCATACATCCTTACATAAGCAATAAACCCCAACTGAGTCATCATGTTTCCCCACACACACCTACCTTTAGTGCTGCTACAACAACATTAATTTACTTCCCTAAGTTATGCTAATTGTTTAATGCTCACTAACAATTAGCTTTAAGATTACTAAAGTTACTCTTATAATACAAGGCAGATTTTTATTGGCTTTACTGTTTTTTCTTTAGGCTCTTGAGCTGTGCACATCTTTTACTTCTCAACTTGAGGAGTCATTCATTGCTAACAGGTTTAGCTAACACCTAGGAATACTGATTTATTAAAAAAGACATATGAATTTGTGGTTAGTTCTCAAATTAAGAAATACAAAAAAAAAACCCTGAGTACACAGAGTATCAGTAATCACAGCTGAACTCTGAGCGCATGTTGGCTAAACATCTCCTTTTTTTGCCCACAAGTATCAATATAAAAAAGTGTTTACTGCTATTATCTGAGAATCAGTGAGGCTTTTTTTGTATTCATGTTACAAAACTCTAACCAGCAGCTCATAACGACATGTGGGAGGAATCTCTTCCAAGAGGTGACAGGAAGTATTACTAGATCCATTTCACAGATTTGGTTTCAACATTGAAATAAAACTCATATGGAAAAAACATGAAACAATTTAAGTCAGATTATTCAGAAAAAAATAAACAGTTATAACAATAGCTGTATTAAAAAATGTCTCAGACAGATCATAAACTTATAAGTAGATGAAAATCTGTTGATTTTCTTTCCCTTTCAAATGAACCACAAAACTTCAATTTTGAAGCACCATATTTGGCACATATATTACAATACTCAGAACAAAGAAGGGACTTGATATTTTTGAAGGGGTCTTATCATGCAAACTTCTTGAAAGACATTAGATTTTTTTTATTTTTTTTTTTTTTGATTTTGCTAACAGCTTCATCTTCTACTATATGTCTGAACTTCATAGGCTGCAACCATAGTTGCACAGATAATGCAAGCAATGAAAAAGCATAGCTTTTTCTGGAGGGCATGCACTCTGTTACAAGCCAAACTCAGAAGCTGCAAGAACCCTTACAATTTTTCAGAAATACATACAAAATGTAATTAGATTTATATAACAAGATGTTTAAGCTTGACAAGGAAACCAACCTTAAACATACTACATTCCATATCTGGGAAAAACGGGCCTATGATATTAGTCAACATTTCAGTAATCACAGATTCCTTCTATCCTAGTTCTCAGATACTTTGTTTACCTGTGTTAAGTTCTTCTGCTATATGGATATCTTCATCTTGCACAGATTGGTCCAACATCTCAACAAAACGTTCCTGAATTTCTACAGCAGCCTCATCACCGAACTTATAATCACTGAGCATCACACTGGATCCAGCAAAAGGGACAAATAGTCTCTGAGGTAAGACATGATATACCCTCTCAAAATCTAAAAGAAAATGGGGAAAAATACCATCCAAATAAACGCCTTGTCAGTTATGATAAGATTCTTAACTAATCTCTGACAGAGAAACAAAGCTATTGCAAAAGAACTGCTCAAGGTTTCCATGTAAAAATCCTGATTTCAAGCATGGTTTGTTTAGTTGTTACTATTTTATGAAAGTTCTGGCTGCGATTACACTGATTTATGTTTTCACATTACTCTCTCCAGAAATATCTGAGAGACCTCCAAAATAGACTATAAAATGTTAAACAGACTTTTTATCATGTTTACAATAACTAGCCAAAGAACTCTGGGAAAGACTTAAGATAAGCAGGACAGCACATAATTTCAACAACAGAGAGGATTTGCAAACACTTGGCTGCTTTTTTTGCATGTTCACAACCACAAAGCACGGGTGCCATCTAAAGAGGAAACTGAAAACTGCATGCAAATAAAAGCATCAACTTTAAAGCACGGAGTTCAGATAAAAGTTAGCTAACATACCATTCTACATTACTAGTACACCAAAAAGAACTGTTATCCTAAAGTAAATGATAATTTTGAACACAAATTATTTTTCCTTATACAATCAACTTGTTTCTATTTCTTTTCCATTTTTTTCTAAAACCACTACAAAAGATCCTATCTTCTACAAGGTTGTCCTCTATATATGATCTTCAAACAGATATTTCAACTAATATTAAAAAAAAAAAAAAAAGTAAATAATAGTGATAACACTGTCTCAAAGAAGTTTAAAGAATCATCCAGCATGAGCTAGCAGATTTGGTCTCTGTACACATCCCATCGGTTTTTAATATAATTAGGATAAGAACTTTTATTGTCATGAGATCAACTTGCATCATGTTCTGGCTTCTGTTAGAATGCTGTGATAAATTCAAGCCAATGTGATTTAGCAATTATTAGTGGTATTGAAGTACGATCTACTTCTTTAAATGATACCAAGCCTATAATGAAATCTGAAGTGATTAGAAGTTCTGTGGGAAGAGCCAACATGGATGATATATTTGCATATTTAATTAAAAAATGAGAGTTAGGATACTTCTGCACACCATAATGACCAGATACAATGCAATATGTAATTTAACAGAGATGAAGTACTGGACTTCAAAGATCACGTCCACTAGCATTCATAATACGGATAATGTAAGAACAAAGCCATGTCTGGCTCGTTTTTTAATCTTGACAAACTTTGTATCTTTAAATTCAATATTAATAGGAATACCATAGGGAGATTTAAAAAAAAAAAAACACACAGCACAAATGTGCTAGTTACAATTAGGAGTTCAATAACAGGAGCTTCAACTACAGAATTATAAAAAAAAAAATAGAGAATTCACGATCATTGAGAAAGAGGCTGAAACTGCATTTTGTGGTTAGAACCGAACACAAAGTTTGTTTGAAAATGAACATATACAAACTTATCCAAATTCTCCGGAGTTAAGAAAAAGTAAGGGCTGCCGAATAGAAACTGTGCCATTTGCTTTTTACTCTGCTCTAAGTATAGTGGAAATTCTGTATGCCAGCTGATTCTTCTACAAAAACACAAAATTCACTGCAAATGTAAATGGATTTTTCCATGAATTCCTACTTTTTTTGTGAGGTCCTTCATTTATAACGAGATCCTCAAACAGTATTTCACAACGATCATTCAATGTGTTTATTATGTCTCTTTTCAAAGCCTGCAAAGAGAAAGACAAAGCATGAGCAATATAAAAGACATCTGCAAACCTTTTGACTAGTAAGAAACAACAAAAGAAGTCCCTCATAGGTGAAGTCCTTGTTGAAAGATTAGTTTTCCAGATAATAAACACTCTAAAGAGAATTAAAAGTACAATAAAAACAAGCTAACATCTCAACAATATAAACCAGAAAACAACAAAGCAAAGATGAAAGCAGACAAAAAAATAGTAGAACTAAAACTTTCTGAATTTTTTTTAATTAAAAATTTCTATTTTTTTCTGAATTTCTAAGTTAAAAACTAAAAATTACTACTAAAAACAAAAGAAAATCAAGGCATTGATTTAATAAGAAACAAGAAAAAACACTGAACAAAACTGGATTTTCTCATTTATGTGTACATAAATATACAGTCTGAAATATTTTCTTAATTTAAAAAAGAATTGTCACTGCCTAATCATGTTTATGAATTGTGTAAAGATTCACCAGAGAACAGCATTAACAGAAGACCTATCTGCTAAAAGCAAGAAAGGAATTGAATTTATCACACACACAACTGATTTCAGAAACAAACCTTTAAGTTCAAGAGGTGAATGTTGCAACACCAGTTTAGACCTTACAATTTTGGAAAAGAAAAAACGGTATGATAAACTTCAAGTACTTTGGAAAAAAAACAAACAAACAAAAAAAAAAACTCTGATGAACTGCTAGTTCACCTTTTCACTACCTGAACAGCTTCTTTAACTTTTGGTTTGTTGTTATGCACGTAGGCTCTGCATTTCACAGCACCTTTGAGATTTATGGAACCACTGCAGACTTGGACTGTTGCCGTTGATCTATGACTTGAACCCTGGGACTGAAAAATAAATGTTTCAATTTTACCTTGTTACCTAGGCACTTGCAGCATGATTAAGAAAAAAACAGAACTAGGAAATTAATAGCATACCTTAAGAAGTTTACACATAATCTGTCTTCCCTCATAATTTTTTGGGTTTTGTTTGTTTGTTTTGTTAGCTACAACTAAGAATCTCTCTCCTTTTCTGTTATGTATGATGTATTTACTTTGCCAGACATTCCATATTTTGTGATTTTAGGATTTCTCAAACCTTTCAGGGAAGTGGCTTGTGGCTTTTTTTTATTCTTATTATTTAGAGGTTTATACATTTACTATGTAGCAAGCATAACCTAGGGTATCCTGAAAGCCATCCCATCAATCAGCAATAAGTCACAAATCTGGTCATGTTCAGAACTGTATCGAATTGCTGCTGCATACAAATAGTTAACCTGATTACTAAAACAAAATGCTTTCTAGAATGTACTCGTTAAGACAATAGCTGGAAACAAGTGGATTCGTAACTTCCACATGAACTGCTTAACTGACTCATGTCATGACTGGAAACCCTTTAAAAAAGCGTAATGGTTCTAAATTAAAAGGGTAAATTTAGATTAGATATGAAGAGGAAATTCTTTACTATAAGGGTGGTGAGGCACTGGAACAGGTTGCCCAGAGAAGCTGCAGATGCTCCATCCTTGGAAGTGAAGACCAGGTTTGATGGAGCTTTGAGCACACAGCTGTAGTGGGAGGTGTCCCTGCCCATGGCAGGGGATTGGAACCAGATAATCCTTAAGGTCCCCTCCAACCCAAACCATTCTATGAGTCTACAACAATGTCAAAATAAAAAGCTTTCCTTCCTCCGAAGCAATTAACCATTGGAGCAAGGTATCAACAAAAGTACATTAGTTTCTCTCAAGTCTTAAAAATGACACTTTATAAATGCTTTTCTAGATGCAACTTTAGAGAATACTATTTCCCAAATAGGTTGGCCTGTTTACAAAAAGGAAGCCTATAAAACAATGCCTATACGTTGGGCTTCACAAACATGGCTGGGGCACCTAATTAAAATGTCACATCAATATAAGCTCGGCTGGAGTGGAAACTTCTAATACAGACCCAACAGCTCCAGATTATGATTCAGCTCACAGGATCTGTATCTTAACCCCAAACCAGTGACTGAGCTTCTGATGAAAGCATTCAAGTAAACGTCCGAAGATAGCCATGACAAACTAAAGCACGGGATTCGTTCTGAACATCAGAATGCAGTCACTGTGAACATATTATATGCAGGGAGGTACAGGTGTCCTACTATCAACTGAATTAGTTCATAGGACTTAATTTCTCTAACCAGCAGTTCAAATTTTCCTCACAACTATATTGTGCAATTCTTATACAACATGACTATCACACTATGAAAATTTCAAAGACAAAAAGCATTCCAATCTGTCCATAGTCAGTTTCACAGTCAATATCCACGGGGGAAAAATACCTTATGATAAATTAAGTTGGATTTCAAGACAACAATTAAAAATGTTCTTTCATTTTTTATTGTATCGTATCAGAGTGCACTACTTACCAGCTGTGTCAGAACCTTGATGTCAGAAATCTGAGTGCTGTATTGAGTATTTCCTCTTAACTTTTTCTGAGAGAAAATGAATACGTCAGATGAAATAGGAAAAATCTTCCTGAATCAGTTATGTCAAGCTACTTTACAGTTATCTTCACAATAACATAAAATGTGCCCTACTTTATAGCCTTTAAGAGATAGAAACTTACGGAAAACAGCCATGAGAACATAATTACAAAACTAAAAGGAGATATGAACATGGCAGCCACTATTTATTGAGCATTTTGACACACATAGGTCTTAGAAATCTCATCACCTACATTTACACCTGACTCAGGTTGTTTAATGAGGCAAAAAAGCCAGAGACAACATATAGAAAAATGTTTAGTCAGACTTAACACACAATAATTGCTTTTACTGTGGTAGAGGAAGAAGAGGCAATTTATTGCAGTGAGGATGGGAAAAAAGTCTTGTGCATTACTTATTTGCAAGAGGCCAATTGCATCAACCAACATTGTACAGAAGACCTCCAATTCACTGTTTTATTACACAAGGAGTTCTAAGTACAAATCTCTTAGAGTTTAATTCCTTGTTGTACAGCACTCACCTGTCCTTCCAGCAGCTCTGTATCATCATCTTTAACTTGTCCATTGATCAGGAAAACGCTGTCCTCTATCTGTTTTGACCATCGATGTAATCCATTCTTTAAGAAAAGCAAAGGCAAAAATTTCATAAAAAGAACTTCACTTCATTTCACTTCATTTGGACAGTATCATGCTGAAGACTAGAGAAATACATGTTTCAGAAGTTACTCTGAGGAGGTTCTAAAGTCTCTGAAATTTTTATATTTTTCTACGCCAAATCTTAAAAACAAAGTATTCAGAATATATTAAAATATTCATTTCTTAATGGGTAAGTGCTACCCCAGAGATGCAACACATGATTATATTTTTGTAAATTCTATTAAAAGTTAATTTGTAGTAAAAGCACCCCACCCATTTTAACTGGGTGCAACCTTTCACCAGGTGAAAGGGAAGAGACTTTAATTAGGATCCTCGTGACCTTGCCAATAATTCTGAGAAAAGGGAACTGCCAACACTAAGCAGAGCAGAAAAAAAAATCTGTCAGCATTTTTCATACTAGGAATGCTTCACAGTAACTTCAGATAACATTTAAAAGATGAATAATAGTGTCAAACATCCCCTGCTTACTAGTCCTACTCAGCTACTCACACTGTGTATTCAAATCTTTGTCTCATGTAATTTTCAGCAGAAAAAATACTGTAGAAATTAAATACAAGGCTGGTGCAGCCAGTTAGTTACCTTGGTATTCTTCTCCAAGTCATGGTTGGGTGAAGTAGCAAGAAGTGGAATGTGGATATTAACATTTACTGTGCAGTCCAAAGACAACCAGGAAGCAGACAGAGCACTCTGATATTTCCAATCTGCTGGTTTAGCTGAACTCTGAGCAAAGAAATAAGCAAGAAAGTGTCTATACAAAACAGTACACAACTAACATAACTTTTTTTGTTTGTTTGTTGTTCCTTTTTGAACATTATCATGCATTAAAAGCTGTGCAAAAACACAAGTCAAACTTACCTTTGGATCTTGTACATCGTAGGTTCGGCAAACTATTCTTCACTACTTAAAGAAAAAGATTCAGTGAAAAGTAAAAAGCAAGTAAGAACAATTACTCTATCCTTTATACAGTAAATTCTTCTCCAGTATATGCTTTGAAGAAAATTTGCATCTTTTATTAGTGTAAAAAAAAAAAAAAGTACAAATACATTTGACTGTAAATTCAAACTACCATAGTGATGCTGTCCCATCTCTTACAAGTACTAAGATCAACGTGTTTTTACAACCACCAATGAACACATTTGCAATCTGTCCTAGTTTCTCTCACTTTTCTCTGGAAAACCTTGCTTTTTCTTGTGCTTATCCTGTTATCAACGGACACAACATCCTTCTGCAGCACTAGTGTCCACACGCTTGACACTTCCCCACTACCATTAGAGCACCACTTAACTGCAATCTTAAGTTGTACAGTATTTCAGATGCTCCCTTTATTTTATACAAATCAAGAAAACTGGTGAAAGGCACAGAAAGGCAGTGAGAAAACCAGCAGCCTTACTTATGGCTAATCAGAAAACTATGATTGCAATTTACTGGTGTACCCAAACTCAAACAAATTTACCCTCCCAATTCATCTACCAGTCTAAAACTTTGTTCTCTATTCCAGTTCTGAAGAAAAAAGAAAGAACAGTTATGTTTATCGGTAACAGAACACAGAGTTTCACCTGGCAGTTTCCACATTAAAAGTACCAAACATAGCACACCCATTCCTTCTAATCCAGAGAAAAATACAGTTTCTAGTATGAGCAGTCTGATACCCTATCCTAGGTACTCATGCAGAATACCGAGAAAAAGAGAGCTGCACATGCCATAACAAACCTCGTGACTGGTTACACTAAGCACAGACAACATATGTTAAATGGACATGGTGCAGTGAATAGAGCAAACCAGAAGACACACTGCTTTTTACAGCTTGTGGGCCAAATGAATCCTGGGAATCTTAACACAATCTTTTATTCAAAAATAATTAGAAAAAAAAAAAAAAACAGACTGGGGGGTAATGGCCTCATAATAAAGGATACTTCTTTGTAGCAGAACAAACTTGAAGGGCTGCTCTGTCTGAGACTTCCTCCTCAGCAGGTTTCCAGAGCCTTCTTTTAGTCAAAGACTTTTCTATTGAGAAGATTATCTAAAGATTAAAAAAAAAAAAAAAGTATTAAGTGTTATGGATTTTTCCACACAAATAGTGCAAGACTATTTACCAGAACTTGTAATGCATTAAAATTTGTAAGCCAAACAATATCATGACTATAGATAAACTGAAAACACAGCTTATACATCACCAAATTATCACATTAAAAGAACATTCAGCAAAGATTCATAGACTAATACTCCAAAGAAAAAGTTGCTTGTGCAAACTTAATTCAGGTTCCTCTTAAACTGAACCAAGCACATATGTAATTTGTATGCTTTTCTCCTTAGAAAAAGTGTTACAGCTTTATTCTTAAGGGTTAAGGATCAGGAAAGGCAGCTGTGCAAAACAGCTACTAAGCCAATAAACAAATTTGAATTCAGCAATCACTGATCACCTATACACAAATCATTTTCTCATGTTGGTTTCTAGTTTCAATAATCACTGTTGAGACCTGATTTTGCTGCACTATAACTATATTCTACTGCCAACATTCAGTCTTGGACCCAAGGCTTTAAATCTTACTCATGTTAAAATCACTTATGTTTGTCTTATGAAAAAAAGAAAATGAACCTATATCTAGGGAACAAGAAGTGAATGCAGCACTAGATGCTCTTATCCTGTAACAATAAGGCATGTTACTAGACATAGTAGCAAATAGTTTTTAAATATAATCCCCTACACAACTAAGTCAACATTTATATACAAAACATTCCTTTAAAAGAAACTGGAACTATAGGTCTCACACTATTATAAGTACCTCTAAACAATTCAATCAGCCACAAAGGTAATAGGCTACCGTTACTAATGATTGTGCTACAAAGATTTAGCTCAATATAAGCAACTCTAAAGATATTCTCTTTAAGACAGAATGCCCACTTTTAGTAAGCACCTTAAAATAGCATATTTGAAGAATTGCTATTGCAGTAACACTGTAAGACACAGACAGCTAGTAAATGAGGGCTGCCATACACTCCCAAAGGACAGCAGTTTCTGAGGTTTCAATCTCAAAACCAGAAATCAGAACAGAATGTTTTTGCTGCTTTATTTCTAAAAGCGTAAACAACCATTATTACTGAAGACAATAATAGAAAATTACTCAGCTACACACTTAAAATTATGCTCATCTTTTCTCTACTTACCTTGCGCAAAGCATTTTGACTGTCTTTTGACAGTTCTGGAGTTGCAATAATAAATACACCAAGAACTAATAAACCTCCAGGAAGCATTCTAGAAACCTTAAAAATAGAAAAGAACATGTATTAATAGAAATCAGATATCCAGCAGAGGTATCTATACACCAAAAATTCCTAATGAGAGAAGTATGCAGAGAGCAGAAATAAAATAAGCAAGGCTGTTTTTCCCATACAGCATCCTATGAAATGGAAGAAGAGAGTATCTTTCAGATTTTCCCACTTCAGCCCTAACAGGTCACTGTTTCATCATAAACTTTGAAAACAATAAATACATTTTGGTTTAATTAATATACCAGACTGTGTGCCTGAAAAAGTTCCTTTATTTTGAGAAAGAGGCTAGAGATTACCGAAGTGATAGAAATTTCTGTACGTTACACTTCCTTTCTGTTTCTCCCATCCCCTTCAGTAACTCACTGTGCTACCTGACTTGCATGTGCGGTGATCCATTCTTCATCAATGGACTCCAGTTTTGAAGGGCTGGTGTTGCCTTCCTTCTGCTCTTCCTTTGGAGGTGTTCGAACAGCCCGAATAACGTAGTCTCTTTGTGATGAACACTTTCAAGAACATCAATATGAACAAATACCGCCTTAGGGTTATATCAAATCTGGTAATATACTATGTAACACAATACATCTAAAAGCTGCCTTACAGCATGTAGCACTAAACTCTGTAATAACCTGCCACAAAACTACTTTCTTCGTGTGATTCATTTGCCTTAACTCTAAACGAGATCTTAATGCAAAGTTTTACGACTGAGATTTTTAGTTTCTTTTCTGTGTGTCATATCTTTCAGGGAAAAAAAAAAAGTTTTAGGAGACTTGAGTACTCAGTTGATACTGCAAACACACTATAGCATCCTTTCTGATCATAGCATGGTCATGCAATTTAATAGACTTAACAACAATGATTAAAGCTAAGGGTAATTTCTCCTACTAACACAAAGGTATGCTACAAGCTTCACAAACTTACCTGCCCTATTAACAGGCCAGTGACATAAGGTTTAAATTTCGTGCTGAGGTCTGAAAGATACTGCCCAATGGCTTCCTCAACAAAGTAAGTTCTACCCATTGCTGCAGGTTTGACTCAGTATTGCATTTTCAGCCTACAAAACAAGACACATGAAGTCACAGTATATACTGGCAACTACACTGGTTACATGAAAGTAAGCCTCAGAGAAAAAATCCTGAACACATTAATTCTTATCTAGCAAAGATTAACTATCTTCGTGAACTTCAAGTTCTTTCTAACTTAAAAACATAAGTCTCTAAACAGAAGGAAAAGTACACACAAGCCTTACTTGAAAGAAAGCTTTTTAAAACCCTGGAGGAAAATACTAGGAAAAACATGCTTCCAAGTAACAGTTTCTTGCTGCATCACATCGCATCGCATCAGAGATGAGCGGTGCGTTTGCTTCCACGTTCAGCCCCCTCTGGGAGGGAGCAGCTACACTGCACGTTTGCACTGAGCAAAACTTAGCCCTAATTGTTATTAATTAAAAGCAAGGTGGCTGTGGACTCTCCAAGAGGCCGTCTTTACAGTGACCACAGGACAGCACAGGGACAGGGGGACTCACCGCGCCCGTACACGCAGCCCTGTGCCGGGAAGGGCCCCAGGTGCCGCGGCTGGCCCAGCAGCCGCCGGGGAGCGGCTGAGGTCGGCGGGCACCGGGGAGCAGAGGGGGCAGCGGGGCTGCTGCTGAGGGCTGGGCCGAAGCACACAGCGGGCACGGACCGCAGCTCACGGCTCCTCACCGCGCCTCAGCCCGCGCTGCCGTACCAACAGCGGCCCGGCTCGGCCCGGCTCTACTCTGCTCCCCAGGACCGCCCCGGCCCCCCCCTCACCGCCTCCCGCCGACGGGGCACGCAGAGAGAGGAATGGCCGCCATGCTGTGTGCGGCAGAAGCCCCAGCTCCGCTCTCTTCCGCCCTCCCCCCACCGCTGCAGCGCTCAGCCGCACGGGACGCCCCGCGGAAGCGAGCCGTTCCCTGACGGGCCCAGCCGCAAAGCCTTAGCGCCTCGCGGCGCCGTTCCAGCCGTGCTCGGGGGGCGACCGGGGGTGCGGCCTCACCCAAGATGGCGGACGGAGATGCCCGACCAGAAGCGGAAGCGCCCGTCAGCGCGCCAGGCGCCGCGCAGGAAGATTGCGCGGAGCCCAGCGGTGGCTGGGCGGGGAGGCGCGGCGCGCGGCGCCAAGATGGCGGCTGTGCTGCAGCAGGTCCTGGAGCGGGCCGAGCTCGCCAAGCTGCCCAAGGCGGTGCAGGGCAAGCTAGAGCGCTTCCTGGCCGACCAGCAGAGCGAGATCGACGGGCTGCGGGCTAGGCACGAGCGCTTCAAGGTGGACAGCGGTAAGCGCGGGGCGAGGGGCAGCAGGGGCTGGACCGGGAGCGTCGCGGCCCCCTGACGGGAGGAGCGGGACCGGAGGGGTCGCTCGTTGTGGGGCGGCGAGGGGAGCGTGGTGCTGCGCCCTCGAGGTCTCTTATGGGGTCAGAACCTCTCCAAAATGGGCGCATGGAGCGTTCTGCGCTAGATTTGCAGAGCTCCTCGTGGAGGAGCAGTACTGATTTGTTCTCTCGACTCCCCAAGTTTCTCTTTTAAATTTCACGCCGGAGACTGCGACCTTTCCGGGTAAAGAGCTCCTAATCCAAACAAAGTCTTTGTGTTGGTTTGGAGATTACATGGTCACAGAGAAACTGATGGCTGTGGAGAGCTAGAGTAAAGTGGGAGGAGGGTAGATGAGTGTAAGCCCTGGACATGGCTGACAAAATAAGTTATTTTACTTACTAGGCATAAACATTCTATTTTTCCTTCAACCTTTCTATCTGTTTCACGATAAAAGCCTAGCTACAGTAAGTGATTAAAATGTACGGTATGTATACTGCAAGTATACTTGACGTATGTCAAGTTAAGGTAAATCACAAGTTTTAGCGCGTTAGTCTCTTTTGTGTGCTGGTTGTTCTTTTGTAGCTGGAAGGCAGCATTACTTGGAATTTTAAAATGTGGCAGGAAGTATAAAATACATTTAAAAAAAAAATCCCTCAGTACTTCCCTAGAAGTCCACTGTGCCTGATTAATTAACTCTGGTTTAACAAAGCATTTAACAGTTAAGCTCTGCGACAGAGTGTTTCAGGTGATGAATCAAAGTTAAGATCTATTTTTTTTTAGTGCTACGAGAAACAGCATAGAGCACAAGAGTTGTTGTTTTTTTTAAGAACTTTTAAACGTTTTCCAAATTAAATCTCAACACCTAGACTTACGTGGCTTTCATTGTATATGTGTAGAGGTAGTCTGTCTTCTCACATCTAAAGACATAAGAATCTATGTTGACTCAACTGAGCCCACTACGTGATTGTGTTTATATAACTCTCTAGCTATGTAAAAATTTTGAAGAAGTATAAAAATTAATCAAAACTGTTATTTTGTGGATCATTTCTGGAAACATATATTTCCATATTAAAAATGCATTAAATAGTGCTAATTATATGTAAAAGTTTATCTTTTAGCTTCAAAAAGATGTTTTTATTCAAATTCTATTTTAGTATTCTTAATATATTTTATTGACAAATGCTGCTTTTGTCTAAAGTCTGTAAGTATGGATCCTCGATAAATATAAGAAAGAAGAATAACAACTTTGAAGCAGAATTGAGGTAGTATTGTTATTTTTCAGAACAACAGTACTTTGAAGTAGAAAAGCGACTGGCTCAAAGTCAGGAGAGGCTTGTAACTGAGACACAAGAATGTCAAACTCTCCGTGAGGAAGTTAAAAAGCTTCGTGAGTATAACCGTGCATTCTTAAGACTGGACGGGATTTTAATTCTTTAGTCCAATGTTATGTTGAAATGCATTAAGTTTTAAATAGGAGTTGAATTTTCAACCATCAAATGCAATTATTACTTCTGCAAACAGGGAGGTTTTATGCTTATGTATGTCTTTTAATGGAATTTTCTGTTTTAACGGGGAAAAAGTTGTAATAGTAATATGGTGGCTTACATATTTCTCTTCAGAATAAACACCTCTGCCCCCAGTGACTATTTGAGGCTGCCACAATACTGTCTAGTCCACTCAATCCACTTACTGGATTTTTATTACAGACACCTCACTACTGTGTGCTCTTACCCAACAGATGAGCAGTTGAAGTCACTGAACGAGAAAAACAGAGAGCTTGAAGATGCTCAGGATCGTAATGCATCCATCCAGGTACTGAAAGAACTAGGCAGTAAGACTTCAGTTTGTCTGATGCCAGCGAAGAACACAATCGAATTTCAAGCTGGGCTGTGTTGATATCAGCACAACTTTGTATTGATATACACGTCCAGATGGACATGTGTACAGGAAAGTTGCACATGCTTCTCATGTTGGTTTATTTGAGTATAAGTTTGTGTTCTAGCAAATGAAATTACAGGTGAACATATGTCAAAGCAGATGCTCTTAATTCATTTTGAATAGATTAGTTTCATCCCATCTGAAACCTGTTCCAAAGTGACTTTAAGATGAACCTCAAAAATCAGACAAAAACTTCATGTTACGGTTAATCTAATGCTGAGCTGCAAATTAAAGTAGAGATCTGTTTTTCTTCCATTCTTTCCCCTATCCTGGTACAGTTTTCCTTGCGTTACGCGCAGAAGTTGTGGGGTTACAGAGTGAGTCACTTTGGATGACTGATCCAGCAGAACACTAGTTTCAGAGCAGGAAAGAAAAACGTTATCATTATATTGATTCTTCCACAATGAGAAGGCGGATGTGATTGTTTTGCCAGAGGGCCTTACATGGGTCTGCCTGAAGTGGTTTGTATTGCCACCTTAGAAAACAAAGGCAATGCTATGGCCTGTAAATAATCCAAGACTATTGACTTTGGTTTTTTAATTTGTTTTTTCACTTGTGTTCATTCCTCGGTTACTCAGTTATCTTTTATATAACCAAATAAAACAGTTTCAATGAACACCATATCTAAAAATGCTGTATTTCAAAGCATGTTATAATTAGATGTAGTTTTGAACAGTTCTTGTTGTTTGATGTGTATTCTTTCTAGGCCTTCAGTTCATTTTATCTGCTATATGTACAAAATTTTTCATTTTAGTCTTTGTTCAAATACAGCTAGAACCCGGAGGAGTCTTATGTAAGTCCAGACCTTAATGTCAGTTAAAATGCAAAGGCATGGAGACTACCTATTCAGTATGTTGGTCTTGAAAGCTGTGTTATAATTCTTTCTGCTTTGCTGTCTGATCTTTGGTATTTTGCATTTAAGCACAAAAGGCCAGTTGGACATTAGTATCAGAATGATTTATGGGGGAGAAAAAGAACTGAAACCTGTTGTCTTTTAGGTTCTAGAAGAGTAGGTATGTTAACTTGAAATTGTTTGACTTGTTCCCAACATGATGGAAACAATGGACTTCAGCCATAGTTTCATACTCTTTAGTTTAGACCGTTTTGCTTGTCCACTGTAGAAGCTTCTTATCCCAGTTTTCAGTCTCTGGAGTTGGGTGGGATAGCATTTAGCAAGCTTCCCTGTTATGGTAAGTGTAAATACTGGCTGAACTGTCTTAAATGCAATCAGCTTTCTCTTTCTTTATTTTTTCTTATTTTTTTTTCCAGAACCAATTAAGTAGAGAAAAAGAAGAACTGGAAGCTGAAAAGAGAGATTTGGTTCGAACAAGTGAAAGACGATCTCAGGAAGTTGAACATTTAAATGGTATAACCAAGAATATATTAACGAATTGGTTCATATGATTGTGCTAAGTAGAACACTTCCTTGAATGACTGGACTACTATGGAATATCCAGTTTATATAGGCAGCTGCAAATAATGGATTATCAGGAAGCTATTTAGAGAAAAGGAAGCAAGCAAGGCGGGAATTTTTATGCGAGCTGCACAAAACTACAGTAGTTTGATAACTGATACTTGGTTTTCCAGATATAAAATCGTACATTGTGTAATGAGATATTGTATATTTTATGATTTATATATTGTTATATGTATGTTATTTATACATTTTATATATATATATATATATGTTGTTTGTTCTCATTCTCTACAATTCATTTAAACTTGGTCAGTAATGAAAACTGAATTCTACATTTACTTCTACAATTATGTTTTGATTTTAACAATGGTTTCATTTCTCCTTCCCCCAGAGGATGTTAAACGCTTAAATGAAAAACTAACAGAAGCAAACACAGAAAAGGTGAAACTTCAGCTAAAACTGGATGAACTTCAAACATCAGATATTACTGTGAAGGTGAGTAGTTCCTACGTGTGTAGTACCTGTTAATGTCGTAGTGTTACCAGTAAGTAGTTGTTTATATGTGATGTAACCATTTTGTCATTATTGACTTTGAAAGTAGGTCAAGCCTACTTCTGTTACTTAAGATAAATGACTTTATTTTAAAATTGGTTGTTGGGCCTGGAAGTGAGAAGTATACTCATGGAAGACAAGCAGGAGAGGGGAACATTGAGTTAGGCAAGCTTATCCAAGCCTCATCAGTGGCAAGAGTGGCTGCTTCTGCCAGCTAGGAGGAAGGGCTCTGCAAAGGCAGGTAGAAAGGAGAAAAATGATTATTTGTGAATGTTTCTATGTGGACAGAAGTAACTCCATAAAGAATTGAAAGGGTGAAAGAAGAAGAGAGGAGAAATACTTTGATACCTTAATTTATTTCTTTGACCTAGATATTAACCTAGTTAATGTTCCCAACTGACATAACCACTGAGGAAACTAACTTATGTGTCAGGAAGTTCTTAGTCTGAGATTGGTAACTCAGTATTGCCAATGTATTACCTTTAATTTGGTGTTATTTACCAAATTAATATGCATCGTTTTTACACTGATCGTAGTACTTGGTTAGCTACTTTGTTTTCTAGGGAACCAGTACAATTACAATGTGTGATTTTCTTTTTAGTACCGTGAGAAAAGGTTGGAGCAAGAGAAGGAACTGCTACAAAGTCAAAACACCTGGCTGAACACAGAGTTGAAAGCCAAAACAGATGAACTTCTACATACTGCCAGGGAGAAAGGCAATGAAATCTTGGAGCTCAGATGTAATCTGGAGAACAAGAAGGAAGAGGTAATGT